ATATTTCATTGTCGACCAAAACCATTCTGCTCTTGGTGTCATTGACGGTTGTATAAAAATGTTAAGAGACTTAAACCAACCACAAGGTGGTGAAGCAAATGAAATGTCATATGACGACAAGTATAGACATTTCTCCATGGCAAAGATGAGACAAGTTTTAAATATTTACAATAGCCGTAAACAAAAAGGTTTGGGAAACCACTCCCCGAAGAAATGAAAAACAACCCTGACTTAGAGAAAGACTATATATTTAATAATTTAGTCAAAAGAGACAAACAAGAAAGAATGCCGGGCTTCAAACTTCAGAAAGGTGACAAAGTAAAAATAGAAATACCTAAACGCGACCCATATGAAAATACTATTGACTATAACAACAATGGGAACCGACAGGTACTCACATTCGTGTTCGTAAAAATAGAAGAAAGTATACAAGAGAATATTATGAAGTTTTAGGCAAACATGGCAAAATGTACACACTGCAAGCAGAAGATAAAACTACTATTGTCAGACCTCGTTTCAAACTTGTCAAAGTTCAAGGTGGTATACTTTCAAAGACAGTTCCTAACAAATATAAGACAACTCCTGACGAATATGCTAAAGAAGTTGAAAATGACGACTAAGCATTTCTATACCATGCGTAAACTGTCATGTAAGGTGGCATGTAGTCTTTACTTTGTCCCGTTGTTTGCGTATACCCTGAAACGCGATGTGTATGGCTTCCTCCTCCCTGAGTGTCATCCCAGTAACAATTTATAGCAAACTTAACGTCGTCTTTAACATCATATCCTTTACCTTTTGTCATTCCTGTCCAATCCCAATATCTATGCTTATGCCAACCTGCTTCAGCTGTAGTTAAATTTATGTAGTGACTGTGTGCAGGTAGGTTTTCACCTGAAATCGTTTTACTTCCACCTGTTTCCTTTGAAGAGTTTGCACAATACAAAAACCTGTCGACTATTTGAGTCCAAGTTCCGAGACCAAGTACTACTTCTGGTCTGGTAGAGTTCATTGACGTGTAAATAGAACCTATAGGATATAGTGTTTGAAGTATTTCTGTCTTTAATGTTTGAAGCTCTGTTTTGTCTGCTTTTTTATATAACTTTTCTTCAAGTTCATTTACGTCAGAGATGCTATGTCTATGATATTTTTGTGGGTATGTTCCTTCTGTCCATGCGAAAATACGTTCTTTTGTTGCATCTACATATCCTTTTATCCATGTCGAGTCTGCTTTTGTATTCCTTAACTCTGTAACACCTTTCTCAAGCTCTTTCAACTGTTGTCCATCTTCCATTAAACCTCTGGTATGACTTGAAACCGTTTGTGCCAACATATCTACAGTTTCTTTGTCGGCTTTAAGGTCTAAACACCCTGAAACCCATCCTGTATCGGCTTTAGTTTTTAAAATCTTCGATGTCCGTTCATGGTACCAGTCAACCCTTTCTTTAATTTCATTGTCTTTTTCATCCACATATTCCTTATATGCCTTCTTCACTAACGCACTAGTCACACATGCTAACTCATCGTCAACATATGTTTTATCTGCTTTCTTTTCAACATCCTCTTTTGTTGCATAAGCTTTGTTAGCTCTTTCTTCTTCTTTTGCTATTGCATCGTCTACATACTCTTTGTCAGCTTTGTTGTCAACATCTGCTTTCAAAAGAAGTTCATCTATAGGTTTCTCGTTTAAGGTTCCTTTTGTTGGATTTATACAAACAGTATGGTTCTTGTTGTCTTGAAACAGAAACTCATCTGTCATTGGGTTTAATGTCAGTTTTAAGCTTCCTTCTTTCAATGACTCAGATATCTTAGAATAGTTTGAAAAGTTTGTTGTGTTCTTATTTAGAGCTTGCATAATGAGTTGTCGGTTGTGTTGTATTTCTCTCATAGACGCTGTTTCATTTGACATTTTTATTCTAGATAAAATATGCTTCCAATAGAAAAAGAAAATTCAAGAGTTGCTACAACTAAACCATTAGATGAACTTTTTACGAATGTCGGTCAAAAGTTTGAGACAGATACCGTAAAGCATGAAGGCTATCGTTTTGACTACCCATTGAGATGGTTAAGAGACCCATCCGTCACAAAAGCTGTTGGCTTTCGTAGAATAAAATTTGTGTCTGTAGAAGATAAAAGTTTTCCATTTATTGTAAGGTTTCATATAGATTATATATCTGAAGGGAAACGAAAAATGTGGGAAGAAATTGAGCTAATACAAGTTGACCTTTCATCTTCTCTACAGACTGCGTTAAAAAATATAGAAGATAAAATAAACTCATGTTATGCAAAATATGCTGATGAATATGCAAATACCAATAGCACACTTTATGTGAGAATTGTATATGACAAACAAAATTCACAAGTGTCATTTCAAATCTACGAAGACAATCCAAATAAAGACGAACAAATATATACAGAATTCACTGCAATGTCATGGTATTATTTGCAAAGAATGTTAAATCAGAAAGTCGAACTTCCTTTAGCAAATATTTACAGTCGATATGCAAGAGATGAACCATATTTATTTAAAGATGTTTTCGACTCAGATGCTATTATCGTTCATGCTTCATTTTCTGGCGCACAAAACTCTTTTTTATGCTTGGCAAATGACTTTTACGAAAAACCTACAAAGCTATATGAACCACCAAGTGGAAGTATTTCAGACTTTCAAGTATGGTTTACTACAGATGGAAGAAAAAGAATAATTCCATTATACCATGCGTTTTACTTAGAACTTAGTTTCATATACAACTACTATCGAACGGTAAAAATATAATTTTTTAATATACCGGTTGTGGTGTTGGATTTGGTTGCCAACTAGACTGTGGTGCAGGTTCAGGCTGTTGTATAACAGGAGCTTGCTCTTCTGGTTCAGGGTCTTTAGGTATAATACCAACAAACTGACCTACTCTTTTACCAATATTTTTGACTCCGTTCCAAATTCCTCTTCCTACGGTTTTTATTCCATTCCATATACCTCTTCCAACATTTCGAAAGAAGTTTCCAATACTACTGAAGAAACCCATTTTACTATATGTAAAAATCTAATGTCCACCTAGTCTCTTACGTTTCCTGTTGAGTTCCATAGCATTTTTTAACTGGAGCTCATACATTCTATTTCTCCTCTGGTAGAAAACATATTCCGGGTCAACTCCTGTGTTCGCGTCATCTGCATAAAGTTGTTTATATCCCACTTCAGGGTTTGTATAAAACTCTTTCCATCTCATATTTGCATACCATGGTGGCAAACCTAACGCAGCGTCATTTGACATGGCAGTTTGCATTTGTACATCTGTTGGCACTTGACCATAGTTTGCCATTGCAGTTTGTATTCTAACTTCATTTGGAATATTCTCTGGGTTTGGTTGTCCAGGTTGCTGTGCATTCGCTAAGTTCTGTGCGTCCATTTAATATTAGATAAAAATATCTCTTACGAGTACATATACTGAACATTTGCAGGCATTGGTTCATCTTCATATTCTCTGTACTTTTCTGCCACGTCAAATAAATAAATGACACAATGGAAAAAACCTAAAACAAGTAGTCCTATTTCAAACCACATTTACTTACTAATAAAATTTCTTTATTGTGACACTTTCTCCAGTTTATAGGACCTCTCTCATATTCTATCTTGTCATATATAAACTCATAGTCATGTATGTCCTCTAACCATCTCATAACGGTTTCCAAACCACTTTTATCGGATGTAAAGTAAAAGCATGGATGGTTATGTATAACGTCTAAAGTTTCTAAAGAGTCTCTCAAAGTCCAGTCTACTTGGTATTGAAAATCCCATGTGTTATAGAACGGCGGGTCCACTATAAAGAAAACATTTTCCTTGTCTTTATATTTTTCATACAAATCTGTCCAATGACATCTCACAAACTCTATACCCTCAATATATTTTTCTATGTCCTCTTTGAAAACATTTGTATAGTTAAGATATAAAACTTTTGACATAAGTGTTTCAATGTCATGAACTCTTATAGCACCACTATATAATAGTCTAGCAGATATACTATTCCAGTCTATATATTCTGCTTTTTTCAAAACCTCTCTGACAGTATTTTTCTTATCTAATGGTATACGTTCCATCTTACCTATAGGTATCTTTTCTTTTAACTCTTTCAATATTTTGTTTGTGTCTGGTATATGTTTGAGACGGTCCATATAGTTGTCGAAGTCATTGCATATAATCTTTGAGTCTGGGAATATTGTATGACATAAATGGGATATATAGAAACTTCCACCGAACAAATCTACAAATGTTAGACCATTCGGTAGTTTCTTAAGTTCTCTCAATAGAATATCTTTACATCTACTCTTATTTCCAAAGAAGGGTAGTGGTGGTTTTGTAAAATTCATTTATATATAATAATAAAAATGTTTTTACCCGAAAAGTGACAGAAAAGTGACAAAACATGAAAACATATATAATTTGTGAAAAGTGATACAAAAAAGTTAACGGCTGGTCGGCTGGGGTTCGGTCCTCCTCTTCATTTGTACTAAACATCTTCAGGGCTAGAAGGCACGAAGTGCCTGGAAGCCCCACTTCCTTTTTTTTTTTTTTTTTTTTTTTTTTTTTTTTTTTTTTATGTATCTGATATTTCCAATCGTACTTGTTCCAATTGAAAAGTCACTTTTCATGACAGTTTCTTGACTAATCTGATAATTATATCCGTAAAACATATGAAACTTGATGATATCTCATATCTTACTTTACTAAAAAAGTGACTCATCAAATTTGTGAAATGAGCTCTGAGAATGAGAAATTTGTTTTTATGTTACCATCTCTTTTAACAGAAGGATTAATGGAGGATGACTCAGAAAATTACTCATTCGTAACATTCGCTCGTCCCCAGATCTCAGAAGCAACAAAAATTATTATTGATACAATTGGCAAAGATTCCTCCAATGTATCGACTACATCTAAAAAGCGAGTTAAAGTGTTAATGGAATTTTTCGCTGTTGCGTAATCTCTTAACATAGAATATTGCAAATTTATGGAAATAGCTGTTAATTATTACGAGCAATGGCTTGAAGATTCCTCATTATATGGAGATATCAAGTGTCAAAACAAATATATGCGCTGTATTATCAAGCAGCTTTCCCAACCATTCGCAATGCGCGAACCACGAAATTCCACTACATTCCAGCAGCAGTTTTTACCACTTTTGATGAGAATCCTTACCAATTATGATACATTCATTGTCAACCGTGGTAAAGAGTTCGAATTAGATACCTGGATCGTTTTATTAAATACAGTTATCGGTATCACGGATTACGTCATTAAATTCTCACTCGCTCCTCTTTGCCCAGAAGATAAGATCTCAGAATTCCGTCAGAAGGCCGTCAACCTTGTTTTTAACACCATTTTATTCTCCGGAATTGAAGATGCTACACATTGGGAACGTGTTGTTAAATACTGCCACAGATGGAGCAACAACAATGATTTCATCACAGTTTGGGGAGTTCGTACGAACGAACTCTGGAAATACTTCAACCTCATCACATTTAAGCTCCCAGTTGAAGATATTCCAATCAAACAAGGTGTTTTTTCCGAAACGAAGAAGATTTCGGACAAGGTCGATTCAGATTTCTTCCATCATGTCGTTACATGTCTCGATTATTCTCAAATTACAGATAAGCCAGAGCTCTTGCTTACAGTTGCCAAGGCTATCTCCGAGGCCAAGGACACAGCCATCAAAGTTGCTGAGCAGACCTCTAAAACAATCGAGATCCACCGCTATCCAGCTTATTCTTTCCTCAAGCTCTTCGGCAAATTCCTTACATGCGCTCCAGTCTTATCAGAGGCTTATGATCAAGCCATTTCAATCAACGTTATCACAATTCTCCATATTATCTCAAAGTTCGAATTCCACGAAGCAGATTCCCTTATTCCACGCTTCATTGCCTACATAACACAGCACGCTAACGAAAACCACGCTTCCGTAATACTTTCCTTCCTTTCCCAGGCCACAATCGCATATACTAACTGTGGCTCTGTTATTCCATACGTTTCCTCCATCGCATTGCATCTCCTTGCCAATGTCCAGATCGCTAAGCAGACAGACAGCCAACTCACAGAAAATATTGTTTCATTTTTCATCTCTGCTGCTAACTCTACTGGCAAGGGAATGGGCGCAATCGAGAGCGCATATGATCACCTACGTACTGTCTGCCCAAGTATCGCAGATCGCTACAGATTACTCACTTCATGCTCTACTACCGGAATTGACATCATCATGGCACTCAAGGAGTACTGCAAGAAGGAGAAGTTCAACCAGTACGTAACACCAAACAACTATACATTCATCTGCTCATTAATTGCCTTAATTGCTTCAATCATCAGAAACGATCCAACAATCCTCCAGAACGTTGGATCCATCGATTCTAACAAGCCAAACTTCGACCGAATCGTATTACAGACACTTTTGATGGTTTACGAGGTCATCGAATGGGCTCCAAGTGCTTTCCACCTCCAGGAGAACTCCAACGCCCTCTTCGAATTCATTTCCATCATCAACTCTACAATACTCGGAGGAAGATCTCAACGTTCCAGTACTTCCTTCATCTCCATCTCTCCAGACAAGGGCGCTCTCGAAAGTGCCAAGTCAAGCAAATCCAACAAACACCGTCAAAACCACATTTCGTATCTTGTCTCCTCAATTCAAGCGAGACTCGCACTCCATTCCTCACCAATCGAGCATATTACACGCAAGTTCTGCAACAGCCACATGTTCTGCGAGCAGACAATCATCGATCACCTCAAGATCAAAGATCCGATAATTCATTACGTTACAGTTGGCTCGAACACCCTTATCTCGTTCATCGAGACCAAGGAGTGCAAGGACCCACTCGCCTTCTTCGCACGCGGACCATTCGGAAAGGCCGCATACATGATAGAAGACGATTACTCGAACGGAAAGGCTCCAGAGCTCTCCGACGAGATCCAGCCAACCAAGTTACCGAAGGCCGAAGCGATCAAACCAGTCCCACTCGAGCTTTACGGCGAGGAACCGAAGAATGTTCCATATCTCAGCCAGGCAGAGCTTACATCTGTCGACGACAACCTCAGGAAGGTCTACAGCGAGGAGTTCTCCCAGTGGACTGACTGAGACAAGCACGCCTACTACGTTCCGTTCAATTACAAGGCTCCATACCAGAGATTGCGAATTGTCGACTTCCTTACAACATTCGGCATCTTGGATATCGAGAACAAGAACGTCGTAAGGCCACAGGTAGACGTTGCTGCAGTCGATGCTGTTAAGAAGAAGTTCGATCAAGCGGATAACGCTCCAATTGTTCCAATTCCAATCATCCACTTCATGGCCGGCGATCTCGACTTGGAGTACAAGCAGGAGAAGGCAAGAATGACTCCATTGTTGCTCAGCTTCCTCAAGGAAATCGGCGAACCAATTGAATTATCCGCTGAAGCAAGCGAATTCTACAAATTACCAGCAGTCAACACAACAGTACCAACTGTTCCATTCTTAACTGCTTTCGCTACATTCTTTACACCAGGAATGGGTGCAACACCTCACGACTCCGAAAAAATCCACAATTTGCAGAAAGATGCTCCAATTAAGATAATCTTCAACGAATCTGGCTTCGAGTTGAATATACCAAAGGACGATAAGGCTTCATCGTTCTTGATCGTTGTCAAACCGCTTTTAGAAGCATATAACTTTTTTCTCTCTCTCTTACAATTCACTTTACATTTTTTTCTTCGAGAAAAATGACAATCATCACAGTCAATCATTACATTAAGCTTTTTTGAGATCTATTATAAATGGGCTAAGTCGGCATTATGTCGATTCCTGAATAATAATGACTTGAAGATGTAGAATATGATTTGTTATGAGCAATATAACTAAACGATAGCATCTATCAATATAGTGCATAATATCGGAATAACCTCTATCTTCGAAATAATCCCTAATATGAAATTTCCTCTAAATAATTTATCATTTGAAGAGGTTTCCCGCTTTCAGAGGAGGAATGAAAGGGTAAAAGCGTTTATTTATAACACAAATCTCTTACCTTTTCATTCTCGATACAAAGTTCAAAAACTTGCATGTATTTGCGTTTGTTTCTGAACTTTGTGTGAAGAATTATGCACTAATTATGAATTAATACGCCACAGCCAGCAATTCTTCCTCTGAAAGCTGGAAACTTGGTCTGATTAGTTTAACATTCGGACAAAGTTTTCAGAGAGGGAATGGAATGGTTTAGAGTCATATATTTATAATACATGCCTCTTACCTTTTCATTCTTTATACAAATAAAACTACAAATGAAATAACTAATAGAAATAATATTTTTTTATAACATAAAATTATTACTGAACAGTTAAATACTTTTTCATTATTCTTCTTGCTTCATTTGGATTAGTTTCTTTGTAAATCAAACTCAAATTATAAGCCGCATCTCTTTGCAACGAATATCTCATGTTGTGGTCCATTTCCATGTCTTCGCCAGCAATCTGAGAGTAGTCAGGTTCACTCTCCAACACCTTTCTATAAAACATCTCCGCTTGTGGCATCATTTTTATTGCCTGGTAAAATCTGGCCATGTTGTAGTCGCATTCTACAGGGAAATCTATGTTTCTCACTTCGATGTACTTCCTCATGCACGCGAATGCACAGAGGACACTCTTCCTTGTTGCCTTCTGTGTTCTAACATACGCTTTAGATAGATAAGCACTTGCTAGAAGTAGAGAAACAATCGGTTCATCAGGATCAGTTCTCAAAACATTCAAATATTGAGTGATGGCGTGGTCGAACCAAACAGTTGACTGGGAATGGTTACCAAGTAATATCTGGAGAGGAACATTATCAGGCAATTTATGGGATGCCCTCAAAAGGAACTTGTGTGCATAGCTTTCTTGGTCAGGAGTCTTTTGTATGAACAGATTAAAGAACTCCCAAACGGATGTGTCTTTTGTCTCCAATAAAACAGCTCTCATGACTGAACATGCTTGATCGCCATGGTCAGCCTTGAATGCTGCTAAAGAGAACAAGAAAAGGATGTGGTATTCCATCGATTTCTCGAGTTTCTCGCGACAGATAACTAATAAAGCTCCTAAAACTAATGCTTGTTCAATAAAATCGTTTTCGTAGGCAATTGTGAGCATTGTTTGGGCGAGATTGAAGAACTGTGTTTGGTCGTCCAAAGGAATGACTCCTGCCTCTGAAAACCTCTTGTGCATTAAAACTTTTTTCATATAATTTGGCATTTTTTCTGGAACTGTGATTCCAAGGAGTTTCTCGATCTGTTTGGATTCTAACTCTAAGTATTTCATGGAATATATGTCATAAAGTACTCTGCAAACAAGAATGCAGCCGATATCTATAAATTGTTGATAATCTCCATGTGAATAAGCTACATCTGCTTCGTGGAGCACAATATCATCTGTTTGGGCCGCTGTAGGGGCATTTTCGCGCATCCAATCAATGGCTGCTTTATCTCCCATTCTGGATTTCATTAAAAAGAATAATTGACCAACGGCAGGGGTATGAGATGGCTGGTCAATTACCAATTGCTGTAAAATATCAATGGCTTCGTCGAATTTGCCACCATCTGTAAGACATGTAGCAATTTCGAATCTTTTTTCAACTCCGTTCGCATGCATATGCTTGTACCAGTTTGCTGCTTCAATGTAATATTTGTTATCAACGTAGGCTTGTCCGATGGCTTCGTAAGCTTCAATATGAGTTATTACGTCGAGAGTAAAGAAATCTTTGAGTTTTTCTTCAGCTTCACGATAACGCTTGGTTCGGATGTATGCAATTGCAGCATTTGTATGAAAATCTTCTGGAGGATCAATAATCGAGTTATCAAGCATGATAACGTCTTCATATTTACCTAAATCCAAGTAATTTTCGCCAAGTAAGTTTGCGTTGCCTAAATCTGGTTGTAATCCTGCATCAACCATTGCTTGGAAATTTGTTTTAAGAACTTCAAGAGAATCTACGAATTTACCACTCTCATGTAAGAATAAAGCATATTCGCGAGCAAATGATGGCTCTGTAGGCCTCCTTTTCGTTAATTCATTAAGACAGAAATTCGTAAGTCGTTTATCATCTACATCTGTCTTAAGGAGATTGAGTAACTGTACTAAGCAGTCTATTTGATCTGGACTTGATTTTGCTGCTTCTCTGAGATAACTTGCAGCTTCTTCTGGACGATTGAGCCTCATTGCAAGGGAATAGCAATCCTGCCAAACTTCCATGGCATCTCGTGCTCGTTCTGCTGCCTTTTTAGTAAATGTTAATGCGTTTTCAAAATCATCTTCTGATTTTGCGATTTCTGCAAGGATTTCATATGGCTCAGGAGCATTAGGAAGAGTCCTTCTTGCATCGTTGGCATAATGAATTGCATTCGCATTATTTCCGGCGTAAAATTCTTGATATGCGTGCGCCATAACGCCCGCGATTTCTGGCGGCATCTTTTCACCAAGAGCTCGTCGCTTTTTATTTTTGTTTTCATATTGTTCGTTCTCGACATCATCATGAATTTGACTTAACGTTTGTAATTCAAGTCTTGGTGTAACATATTCGTTGAAAAATTCAGATGTATGATCAATAGCTTGTGTTAAAGCTTCTTCGGGAATTTCATCAAGTCCTGCTAAACTCTCAAGCTCTTCTTCAAGGGCTGAGACTTTATCAGTCATTTTTTTTTGACAATAAAAAACAGACATGATTTTTATAATTTCTAGCCTAAAAAATGGCCTCATCATTAGAGATTTAAATTAAGATCTTCGAAAACTATCCTAAATTATGGAATTCGACAAGAATAGTACAGTTTTGTCAATCAATTAACAAGTCCGACAAGCAAAATCGTCTGATCATGATAGACCTGATTACATAGTTCGTGAATTTTTAAGACCAAACAGATTTTTGCGCAACTTTGTTACTCTCCCTACTTGTATTATTCAAGATTTTTTTGACAAGACTGTAATGTTATCTCATTTGAGTTTTATGAATCTAGAGATTAAATAAATTGGCGCAATGCAGCAGCTTGTAATAACAAGATTTTTATGCCAATCAGTCCAAATCACTTGATTTTATGAATAAATGGCAAATATCACATATAATTAATAGTAATGTCTTTTATTTTCATTAAAATTTTTTAATGGGCCAAAAATTGAAAATTTTAAATTTCTCTAGTTACTAGCCAGAATCAATATAGAGTTCATATTCAAAAAGTGAATCTACTATGGTGTGAAAAAAATAATTCAAGAATTATAATAATTTAGTCAAATTATTAGAGTTACCACGTATTTCGGTGTTTACAACTTAATTTGTAAACTACATTAATTTTTTAATTAATATTTGCGCCATGTGAAATAAGAAGTTCAGCTGTTTCTTTTTTATTATGTTCTGTTGCATAATGGAGAGCGGTTTTGTCATCATTATCTTTTTCGTTGATATCTGCGCCATGCGAAATAAGAAGTTCGGCTGTTTCCTTACTATTATATTGTGCTGCTTGATGAAGAGGTGTATATCCGTATTTATCTTTTTCGTTGATATCTGCATCATGGGAAATAAGAAGTTCGGCTGTTTCCTTACTATTATATTGTGCTGCTTGATGAAGAGGTGTTCTTCTAATTTCATCTTTTTCGTTGATATCTGCACCATGCGAAATAAGAAGTTCGGCTGTTTCCTTACTATTATAAGCTGCTGCAACATAGAGAGCGGTTCTCCCATAATTATCTTTTTTGTTGATATCTGCACCATGTGAAATAAGAAATTCAGCTGTTTCTTTACAATTATATTGTGCTGCTAAATGAAGAGCTGGATATATGTTTTTAACTTTTTCGTTGATATATGCACCATGTGAAAGGAAATATTCGCAAAGTGATGGAATATTGAACATTACCGAATAAACAAAGACTCTTTTAACATCATTAGTTTGATCGAAATAAACTAAAAATGATTCAAGATTATTGTAAATTCCACAATAAAATATTTCCATGTCTATATTGTACTCATTCATCAAGAATGTTACAAAATCAATGTTGTGTGAAATAATTGCATATCTCATGCATTCTGGACTTGGCTTTTGATATTTCAAACATTCACTCAATATCTCTTTGTTTCTTCCTAGAAATGAAAGATATAGACATCTGACTGTGATTTCTGAGCTAAATTTCGTTCTTAATAACTTGAAACAATCAACAGCCCCGTGGTAACAACATAATTCAAGTAATGAATATCCATTGTAAGAATGTGGATATAAATCGCTATCAAGTCTTTGATCTTTATCATAGTCATCTCTTTCTGTAAAAGCAATGAATTTTTCTAGGTCATTATCCATAATTGCTCTGTAAATTGTATTTTCTGTATGAATTTCGATAATTTCGGATTTAATTTTTTCGAAATTATCAGATTTGTCTAATTTAATTCCGTATTCTTTATAAAAAAGGTAGTTTGCAATAGAGTTAATATTTTTGACCTCCGAAACATTATAATCATCAAATATATGTTTGGAAAGTTTCAAGTATGACTTTGTATAGCGGTTATTATATCGAATGATATCTAAAATATCTTTGATAATATTTTCTGGAAGAGATTTCTTTGAATCAATCAATTCTGTCTTGATCATTTTGTAAATCGAGTTTATTTCTTCTTCATTTTCCGTTTTCAATTGATACAGCGCATTATATGAATCGATGTGGTATTTATAGATATTTCGCAATTCACTGAATTTATTTGGATGAATGTCTTGATCAGACATTAAAAAATTTAAAGTCACCAAAGTAGAATTTTGAAAGTAATTGTTTTGGACACCTGGAATGAATTTTCCTTGATGAATTTTTCCAAAATATTTCAATCGAATTGGATTTTTTTTGTCCAAGGAATGCTATCAAAACATGATCGGCATTATTCAAATTGCTGGCCAAAATGTCAATGCCATATTCCGCTTATTTTTTGAGGCTCTGCCAATGGTTTGAATATGTGCCGATCATGTTTTGATAGCATTCCTTGGACAAAAAATAATTCCTTGGAATTTGTCGACAAAAAACTGCTAATAAACGTGCAACATAATATAATTCATCTAATATTTATTCTATAAATGGATAACAACTAAAATTTGTATCGGAATTTAATAAAAATCATATAAATTCATGGGAAAATAAGAAAATGGGTATTTTCTAGTACCAAAACATAATATAGAAAACAATAAATACCATAATGGCTATATTCAGCCAAATATAAATAAAATTAAATATTTGGCCATAAGTTTTTTTGCCTAAGGAAGCCTCTTTCGATCCTTTCTTAGGAATCAGTATCTTTCTAATCTTATCTATGATAAACTTTTCAATTGAAGTATCTGAGTAAGGAACTCTTGTTTCATCGTCATTTTCTTCTGCAAACATCGAAGTGCCTCCACGCTGTACTTTGATAGCTGTAGAAGGAATTTTATCAAATGGTTGGAATAATAAATTATTTTCTTCGATATTATCGGCTTCGACTTTAGGACGAAGTTGTTTCTTTGTTTCTTCGGTAACAGGATATTGTACGGAATTCAATCTAACTCTTCCGAAGAATGGCGGTAGTGTTTTTGACATTTCAATTTTCAGACGTTGTTTTTCTTCTTGTTCCTTTTCTTTTTCAGCTTGTGCTGCATTGGCAGCGGCTTGTGCAGCAGCCGCGGCAGCAGCAGCACCAACAGCAGGCTTAATAATGGGGGCAGTAGATTTCGGAGGGTATAAGTGCTTTTTAATAATATCTATTAGTTCGTTTTTGAGTGGATTCTTTGAAGGGATTTGTAATTTTAAGCAATAGCACATTTGTATTAGCTGTTGAGAACTATTTCTATTTAGATGATTCCAATCAAATGGAATCGGATCATATTTTGAATACATTAAGAAGAAATCCTTTTTATTTGCCTTTGGTGTATCTTTTGGAGTTGCAGTTTGAACAATGGGGCTTCCTCTTAGTCTTGTATTCATTTTGTCACTTTTTTGGCTATTATAAACAGAAGTGCAACATTGAAGCTGAAAGCACAATAAATATCTCTGTTAATAGTTATGCTCCAAACGATATTGATACCTTAAATCTAATTGGGAAATATAAAGTGAACGAGATAAAATCACATGTTTGTTCAGAGCAAATATATAGAAACATCATAAATTTAGATGGCATATAATTTAAGAATAAAGGATGCCATGAAAATTTCACAAAATCAATTCGAAATTAGAATTTGCTTATTTCATTCCAAAGACTAATCAAGTGTGTCTTGAGTCGAGGAAGTGCTAGTTTTAATCGAGACAAATAACTTGTAAGAGCAATTCATGATTTCAAAATAAGGTTAAAAATATTGATGGAAAATGTTGCAAATTCTATTTTGATATGTTCGGAATTTTTTTGTGCAGCAATAGGACTTCAAACTTAATCAATAGATGCATTTACAAGCAATAAGTATATAATTCTGATGGAGTGGCCATAAAAATGCATCAGAAAGCTATGCTGTTGAGCATTTTTAATGTTATAATCTCTCAAAAAAAATTCTAAACGGTCACTTTTCATTTTCCTTCAAAATTTTGAAATGAATGAAGAACAAAACACAGATTATATTTCTTCAATATTAAATAATACTGGAGACCCTGATGAAATGTATGAGAACATTGGACAACAAGTGCTTAGTATGTGGAATTCCGATATGGAAACAGAAGATCTATCCAAAAGTATCATATCTCAAGATCCACTAAATAGAATCATATCATTACTTTCTAAATCTAGCGAAAATTTAAATCAGAACGCGAAAGAGGAGTTAAAATCTTTATTTGAGCAGCTAACTCCAGCTGATTATGCTCTCTCAGGAAAACAACTTTGTTTAGCATTATTAGACTTCAAATTTAAGCAAATCGAAACTAATACTAAAAAACAGAAGAATGTAATTGTTCAAGTTGATATTCCTTCCGAAATTCCTGAACAAAAAGTGATTGAAAATCGAAAGAAGCCAAAGAAAACATCTAGTAAGCCTCCTTTCAGGCCAAAAGTAAATACTATTACACCTATTCAATCTAAAAGTCCATCACAACTTTATGGAGAGTTTCCGGCTTGGCTTCCAACTATGACAGAATTTTAATTCAATAGAATTTTATATATAAACTGTTTGTATTATTTTTCAATATTTGAATTTTTTATTATGAAGTATGAATTCTTGTTGTTTTGGCAAAGACTTGTTTAAGTATATACCTCTGATGTTTATAAAGCTGTAACTATTAGTCTTGATGGTTATGATATTTCTGCCCAGCGAATAAATCGATGTTTGTCAATGAAAAAGTATAAGCTACTCGAAACAATGCTTATTATATATAATATGAATTAAATGATAACGTGCTTTTTTCCACATAAAATTAAAAATGAAACCTTCTTTATGGACTCCTGCAGAGGTTGCATGCGAAGTTCGTCAAAACGGATTCGATAAATTCTCAAGAGATTTCATGCAGAGTGGAATAACTGGAAAAGATCTATATTTTGTTACTGATGCTGACCTTAAAAAGATCGGAATGACAATAACTCAAAGGTCAAAGTTTATGACATGGGTCAAATCACTTCCTCCTTACAGAGTTAAATCTAATCCTGGAGGAAACAAGCTTCATAAATGTCTTGAACCGCGTCCAGATTTTGATTTACCGAAAACGCCAGCATCACCAAAACAATCATCACAACGCACAACAACAACATTTAGGACAACTGATACTCGTTCATCTGGAACAAGAGCATCAGCTTCTCGCCGCGTTACTCCATATAATACGAACGTTTCTTCTTATAGCAGCAAAGTACATACTTTTGCACCACCAAGTGATGATTTTGATATTCATGAACTTGATTTTACTCCTCCTCCAAGAGTAACAACAATTCCAAAACCTATTAGAGCAATGCGAGGCAAAGGACCAAAATTAAATATCTCTGAAGATGGTTCTACAAGTGATCGTCAGCCTTGCCACTATTGTGGACGCAAATTTGCTCCTGATCGATTACCAGTTCATGAACGAATTTGTGCAAAGACAAGAAAGCGTCGTCCTTTCAATGCTTCAATGCATCGTGTGTCTGGCACTGAAATGCGCTATGTACCTCGTTCATCAAGAGCAGAATCAAAATCAAATTCGCGGAAATACATCAACGGCAAGCCAAAATACAAGATCGAGCATGAAAACCTTGTTGCTGCTTTACGTGCTGCAAGAGGAATGGCTGCATATGAATCTGGAAAAATAAAAGCAATGCCAAAGATGCCGAAAATGCAAGATGTTCCAGATGGACGCGTTAAATGTCCTGTATGTGGTCGCAAATTTGGGCCAGAGCAAGCAGAGCGTCATATTCCGTTCTGCAAACGAAATGCGGGAATTAGACCTCCAGCAAGACCTGTTAAGAGGAGGTATTAATATATTTTCCATGTAAACTGATGTTTTATTTTGTATTTATTTATCATTTCGAAATCAAAAAATCAATAATATATTTTTTATCACTTGGGAATGAAATAGCAATTTCATACGGGTATTAGATAGTATGAAAATAGGAATTATTAACAAAACTTACTCATATCAATGAATTCTTAATTTCATAAAAATGGAATAAGATATCCCAACAGGGAAAATTTATTCATAGGCTTGACTATTTGTAATAAAATATATAAAATTCCAATATAAGCTATAATCCTGACATTTTTTTTATTAAAGTTAAAACAAAAATAAAATGAATAAAAATCACATAAAATTTCATTGTTTTTCAAGTTCTTTGATGGCAGCAACCAAAGCAGCCATTGCAATGTCAGCATCGTGATGCTTAAAAGCTTCGCGTGCAATATCAGCCAGCATAGTAGGTAATGGTTTATCTACAGTTGAACTTGCAGCTTTTGAGGTTAGTGGAGTGTGAGCTGGCTTTGTAGGTTGAGTTGCATGAATATCTTGTGATTTTGTTGGTTGATGAATCTTTTGGTGGCTGTGTGTCGATGTAGTTTCTTGAGTTGGTACTGGTTTCGGTTTTATTGATTGAGCTGCAATTAATTTTTTAGAAATTTCTGGTTTGAGAGGACCATGAATAGAAGTAACGCAATATGTCATATAAGCAATCTTCGGTAGTTCAGGAACTGTTGGATTTTTATTGTATTTTTGGATCAAATCGTCAGCAAATTTTTCTAATTCGTTAATCTTGGCAATTTTTGATTCTTTGATGTGAGAATCTACTTTTTCTTTAAGTTTTATAAAACTAGGTTCGCCATCAAACATTACAATAGAATTTTCGATTAATTGTGAGCAATACTTTAAAAAAGCGTTAGAAATTGATGGGTATTTTGATGATAGCATTTCTGCAACAGATAAAGCAGGACCAAGTCCTGAAACACTTTCTATTTCTTCTTCAGGAATACCAAAAAACATTTTTTTATAATAAAAAGTGACGAATTCACCGAATTTCATTTTTTAGTCGTCAAAAATGAATTGTGTTGAAATTTATGATGATAAATATTAAATACTGTTTTTACACATCCCATTTTTAATGTTAGGGTGCTTGATTTCTCTAGGCAATTTCATATCACATGTCAGTTAATGGCGCAAAGGCATCGGTGGCTAAACAGGTCTCCTGATGTCAATAACTTTGCAATACATCCGGGAATTAGACACAGATCTAGGCTATATACAAGCCCTGAGCCTTATATGCAGCCTCAATCAATGTATCCAGAAGCGCAATTCAAAACGGTTAAAAATAAATTTACTGCTCATGATCAACTGCTAATGCAATTAAATGACTTACGAAACCTATTTACAAAGCAACTTCCTAATATGGGCGCTTCTTACATCACAAGATTGGTTTTTGATTTGTATGCGGAATCTGTCATGATGCTTCATCAAGGAGTTGTCACTGCAGGTATATGCTCAAGATTCTTCGATGAAGCCCAGTTTGTTGAGATCGCTTTCCTTGCTGTTGATGCAAATTCTCAAGCTTGTGGCTATGGTCGATTAATCATGAACTTTTTGAAAACTTTACTTCAAACATATGAAATATATGATATATTGACATGCGCAGATAACGATGCTGTTACATATTTCAAGAAACAAGGATTTAACGAAAAAGAGATTAATGTACATCCAGATAGATGGCTAGGATGCATCAAGGACTATGATTTTGTTACCCTTGTGCATTGCAGAGTTTATCCAGATTTAGATTACTTGAGATTCCCGGCAGATTTGTCAAAACAGTTCAAGGCATTAGATAAGAAGATCGGTATTCATTCAATTCCTTACCTTCCTGCTCTGGATTCTCCTTGGCAGCCGCATCAATATTCTCCTAAAATGGAAAATGTTTCCATCCCTAAGATAATTAGCCAGACAAACCACAAATTTACAAATCCTCAGTTTCTTGAGTATCTCAGCAAATATAACGAAACTATGGAAAATTATCGCGCAAAATTTAGAGCAATCCTTGCAGAACTACAGAAAGATGAAAACTATTCATCGATGTTCCAAAATCCAGTAACAGAAGAAATTGCTCCGAAATATTTTGATGAAATTAAGTCACCAATGGACTTTAGAACAATACAGAACAGACTAGATAAATTCCCTGATTATTACAAATCCCCGTTGCAGTTTGCAAATGATATTTACGCAATATCTTATAATTGCAAGCACTACAACAATAATGACAGCAGTATACAGCGTATTGCTAATGATCTATGGCGAAAACTTCGTCAGATTTATAATGAACAATTCCCGAATTTGAAAAATATACCTGTGGTTCCTCCTCCAGCACCACCGCAACAATAAATGTTTTTAATTAGAATATTATGTATAAAAATTTATGTTTTCCTTTACTTTATTTCTTCTTTTTTTGAAAATTTTATCAATTTCTAAATTATCCAAGTTCAAAATGCCAAAATTAATTTTAAAAATTTGTTTAAAAGTTTGATACCAATTTTAATTAATATATTTAAGGTGACTTTTTTTTGATAAGATGTACGTTTAAAAAAAGAAAATGGATGATGCTTCAATAGTTCTTCAAAACTTTGATAAGGAAGTAGAATGCAGATGTTCGTTTATTAGATCTCATTCAGAAAATTTAAGCATTAACATGCTTAGTGCACTTGATCTTGCTCTCATGGGAATTCCAGAACCAGTACGCAAGATGTCTGTCAAAACGTTGATGACAAAATATGATGGAGATATAATTAAGGCATCAAATGCATTTGAGCAAAATGAAAACGAAAATAAAACTCAATTACAAAATCAAAATCAGAAGAGAAAAGGCTACCAGGCACGATCTCCGCGCACTCCAACAACTGATCTTACATTACCATATGGACATCCAGTTAAAGCTACAAAAAAGGCTCAGCAAAAATAATTGTATTTGAAAAAAATTCTTCGCAATTCTAATTTTCATGAATGTTAACATTCCCAAATATTCTGGGAAAATTTAAATGAATGGTGAAGATAGAAAGGCTAGTAACGAATGGAAATCCAAAAATCGAGTTGATTTTGTAGATATATAATGAAAGCATAAGATATTTTCAAAATATCATAAGAAAAGAAATGCTTTTATTATAAAATACATAGTAATATTTAAAAACTGCTTACTTAACATATTAATTCTGTTAAAAACTATATTTTCTGAAATGACATTTTTAATACAATCCAAACTTTGATCCTTTCTCTTACATACTCCTAAGGTCAGCCAGTTCTGATCACTGGCAACCACACAAGTCTATGTCTAAATTATTTAGGGAAGTTTCTTTATTATCATTTTTAGCATTGATATCTGCACCATAATGAATAAACAAAACATAAATCAATAGCACTTGTTTGATCTAAAGTGATTATTGTAAGATGAATAAATATGACTCTAGATAATCGTTAGGATTCCTTAAAATCCTCCAAAATGCTCTCAGTCTCATTGACGAAAGTTTTTGATGGTATAAATAAAGAGTTAATTTTTTATGGAAAAATTCATATCCTCAATTCATATCCTTCGCGTTTGTCTCCTCAATTGTCTCAATTTTTCTGTCTCGGATGCGAAGGGTATGATTTCAAAAAAATTATTCCACATTTTAAAAACTACAATAAACTATTGCGATAAACACTATTTTTAGTTGGACAAATACTATCTAATGCTATCTTAATAGACCAAGTTTTGAATAAAATTCAAAATTGGTAATTAATTGAATAATTTAACAATTTATTAATATAAAGGATCTTCAGAAAATTGTAGTCAACTAGGAACATTTGTTGACAGCAAGAAATAAATGAATTTCAGAATTTGAGTTCTAAAATTTTTTGGAATAAGTTTTTCTTCTCCATAATACGTCCATGTGGACAATGGCTGCTTTCAAAAAGCAAATTCAAGGTAAAAATGAACAATAAATTTCAATTTCCAAATTTTCTGTATCTAAACAATAAATTTGGAAATGATGATAAAAGATTCTTCATCTATAAAACTAAATAAGGTAAATTAATGAAATTAACTTAAGATATAAAAAATAAGGTTGCCACACCTATAATAATCAAATAAAAATATACCAAAAAAGGCATGAACTGTGTAACTGTGATATTTCTGTTTTCTTGATCAACATTATTCAAATTTTCTTCTTGATCAAGGTGCATTCCATTTGCAACTATCAATGCTGGTAGCCAATCATCTTCAATATCTAATTGCTCTTCTTCTGTTTCGGGTTTTTGATGAATTTTATAAAATTGATTTCTAAATGAGATTATATCTGAACTTGTATAGCCCATTCTTGCTAATCTATTAAATCCTCGAAGTTCTACGAAGTTTGGTGTATCACATTTTTTGTATTTGTAAAAAACATTAAATGTTGCACCTTCAAACAAGTTTATGTTGCTGATTTTTTCATTTAAATCGAGCTTTTTCCCTGCAAAAACAAGAATTATTTCTTGGTTTTCCTTTGGTAGCCTATTGGGTAAATTTTGAATATATTTAAGGATGGATTCAACCGTATCTGATGAATTAAAATGCATATCAACAAGTTCACCATCACTGAATTGAATTTTGAAATCTATTCCGAATGACCAATCTGAATTTTTGTTTTCATCCATAATATAAAAAAAAATAGTTTTGAAATAACATATACATTTGAAAAAAAAGCAGTGAACATATGAAAGCGAAGCTTTCAGGGATGATATAATATGGGATATAGAGCAAGATTACTCTCGAACATTTCTACATTCCATTCGAAAATGTACTGTGGAATAGCCTTTTTTAATATTGACTTTTTTTTTGAAAAAAAAATTGAAAAGTGTCACAACGTTAATTTTCATCATTCATGTCAAGTTCAGAACAATCAAAAAATGAAAATGTATGTTACTTTGGCGACATTAAACCAATTAAAGAATTTGAATACCCCAATCAAGCTTCTAAAATCATTTGGGGTGTCAATTCCAATAATATTTTACAAATATCTTCACAAATTATAGAACTCATTACAAATAACAAAATATCTATCCAAATGGCAGTTTATCTGATTGATATTTTTTCACAAATTCGTGTTGAAGATCTTAAATTGTTTACGGAACTTTACAAACAGATATTAAACAAATTCTCATGCTTGATCAAACCAGAAAATGAAAAATTGGCAACACTTTTATATTATAAAGGATTCAAATTTGAAAACTACGAACCTAAAATGAAAGAAGAAGAAATTCTCAATAGATATTCAACCGAAACTCCTTTATACTATATTTCATTGGATAGAGTTGATGATCTTAAGAACAAATTCCCAAATCTTGACATTAATCAGGAAATTAATGATATCACACCACTTGATTGTGCAATTAAATTTGGATCAGAACTGTGTTTCAATTACTTGAAAAACGTAGGAGGTAACTACACTTCTAACTCCGAAGAATATGCTATGCAAGGCGGAAATAAAGAGATTTTTATGCAAATGATTGAAGATGGTAAATCATTTGATAACATGATTAATACAGCATTGGATTATCGAAACTATGAAATTGCTGAGTTCCTTAAATCAAATTTTGGACAAACTCCTAATTCAATAGCCGAAAGTATGCATTTTGGAAATTATGATATTGCATCTTATTTACTTATTAATGGAGAAGATATCAACAAACTTTATAATCTTTTTCTTTTCATATTAATCATTTTTTTATTGTACTCTCTTTCTTTTCATATTTATCATTGTTTGATTACATTTTCTTTCTTTTAATCTTTATCATTGCTTTATGAAATTCTCTTTCTTTTCATATTTATCATTGCTTTATACACTTATATTTCTTTTAATATTTATCATTGTTTTATGAAATTCTCTTTCTTTTCATATTTATCATTGTTTTAGGGCATTCTCTTTCTTATCATATTTATAATTGATTAAAAGCATTCTCTTTCTTTTCATATTTATCATTGTTTGATTACATTTTCTTTCTTTTAATCTTTATCATTGCTTTATGAAATTCTCTTTCTTTTCATATTTATCATTGTTTGATTACATTTTCTTTATATTTATATTTATCATTGCATTATGAAATTCTCTCGATATTAATGAGTGCCATCTTAGTTTTGCTATCAAAACGAATTCATTAGAAATTGTCCAATTCCTTGTTGAGCATGGTGCTGATGTTAACATGAAGTTTATTCTCTTTCTTTTCATATTTATCATTGCTTTAGTACATTCTCTTTCGTTTCATATTTATTATTGCTTTATAAAATTCTCTTTCTTTTCATATTTATCATTATTTCATGGAATTATCTTTCTTTATATATTTATCATTGCTTTAGCATATTCTCTTTCTTTTCATATTTATCATTGTTCAATGACATTCTCTTTCGTTTCATATTTATCATTGCTATATAAAATTCTCTTTCTTTTCATATTTATAGGGTGTCCAAAGGTGTGTTTAGCACAAACCTGAATACTGCGAATAGAAATAAACAAGTTACATATATATAAAGTTTATTTAAATATAATCACCATTGGATTCAATCACGCGTTCGCAGCGATCGATCCAGGCTTGAAAGACACGCTTTAAATCATCATGAGAAAATTGCTCAAATTGCTCTCTTACAAAATTTTCAAGATCATCTGGACTCGCGAATTCGCGTCCTTCAGCTCTCTTTTTTAGCGTGCCGAATAAATAAAAGTCAGAGGGTGCAATATCAGGTGAATAAATTGGGTTTGGAACAACTTTGACATTGTTTTCAACCAAGTAATTCATTACCTTATGACTTTTGTGAACTCTTAAATTATCAAAATGAATTGCAAACTTTTGTTTTTGTTGTTTGGATTTCTCAAACTCATCAGAATTGATAATTTGAGTAAGAACATTGTCAATTAGATACTGAGCATTCATCGTATTAGGTTTTTGAAGAATATCAATTGCGATGATGCCATTCACGCCCCAAAAAACCGACAACATCATCATTGGTGTGTCAATTTTTTTTCTTCGGGAATGTTTGCGGATTTTCATCCTTCGGGATCCACATGATTTTGGCTTCTGTTGCATATTGAAACCAAGACTCGTCCCCTGTTACTAAAAAGCGAAACTTCTTGGATTGATACGCACCCAATATAGAGAGGAGCTCTTTCGAAGATTGGACTCTAGATTTTTTTTGAACTGAATTAAGGTTGTGCGGAACCCAACGTGTATACGCTAGTTTGTAGTTCAAATAATTGTGCAGATAATAACTGACTGTTGTACGTGGTATCTTTGTCATCTCCTCTATCCTTCTGAGTGATGCTCTTGGGTCTTCATCTAGCGCTTGAAGAATTGCTTTGATTTTTCTTTGATCCGGCGATTTTTTGTCAATTTTTATGATGGGCGCCTTTTTGTTCATGAAGTGATACATCCTAACATGATACGCTACAGTGGAATAGCTAGGAGCATCCATACCGAAGCATTTTACCAATGTCTCGTAGATTTTTTTACAGTCTTTGCATTTTTTTGCAAGAGCGAGGATGTTTTCTTTATGATTCATTAAAAAAATGAAAAAAATCCCGCCAAAATTTCCCGCGAAACCGCCTCTTGTCTCAAAATTCATTTTATATCCCGGCATGGCGCCAAAATACAACTTACTCATCATATACATATATTCATATTTTTTATTATATATTTATAATCAGCATATATCTCCTTTAATAGTCTCATATAGAGCGCTGTGCTAAACGCACCTTTGGACACCCTATATTAAGGATGGGCACTCATTAGGGTGATGAAAAAAATCAAGTCTAGCAAAGTCAATATATTAAAACCAGTGAAGACTATTATATAGCATTATAGTGTACAAGCTCAAATATTTAGTGATGCATTTCTCGAACTTATTTTATTTATAAGTTAACCTTGAAACATGAATTTTAGTATATCATGAGCATATTTTTTTCTAATTTTGCAATACTTATAATATCATACCAGGATTCATGTGGAAGTCTAATATTTGGTATATAATATTCTTACAATAAATGTATTAATTCAATTATATTCAAAATGATGGGTCGCAATTTTTACTGAAATTGCAAATTTAATTTCAACAATGAAATTATTGTTTAAAAAAAATAGCACAACAGCAAGATGGACAATCATATATAGAATTATAATGCTCCATATAATGCTTGGATTTGATGCGTATATAATGTTATTTTTCGAACATCTTTGTAAAAAATTGATTTTTGTAATTTTTGAAAAAATTCGATTTTATTTCGAGATTTCCTCTATAGGTGAAGTATATTGAACAATATTCCTATGGGAGAAAATAATTGTAAGTATGAGTACTTTCATTAATACTATGGGTGCCATGGTTATCGCTCAAACGATCAAGTTATATCTCGATTGCGTAAATTGAAATTTTGCTATTTTCTAAATTCACGGCAACAACATTCTTTTATCCTGATCGTACATCACAATATTTGAATGTGCGACCATTTGTTCAAGAAACCGTCAAGTTATTCTTCATTTTTCATGCCGCGGCGAACAAAAGCAGTTGCAAAGCGTATAAAGAACTTAGTTCAAAGCGCGAAAAATAGGGTAGAGCCATATGTCGTCAACACTGTTGAATTTGTGCTATCTGTATTATTGAGCGGCGCTACATTTTGCCAATCAGAATTTCAATTCATGCTGAATAACATCAAAGTTCCGTCAGAAGCTACATTTCATCGAGTCCAAGAAAAGGTTGGTCGTGTTATCATAGAAGTTGCCAGAGAATCTGTTAATTATTGGAAATCTCGAATGAGAAAATGTTCGGGACTTTTGTTTGACGGTTCTTGGAGTCAGAGAAGAAATGCAATGTTTTGCTATGTACAATTTGTAGAAGAGAAACTCAAAAAAATTGTAGATTGGGAAGTGATATCTAAATCTTTTAAAAATTTCAAAGGTAATTTCAACGGAAAATCAAATGAAATGGAATTTGAAGGCTTAAAAAGAATGCTGAAGCGTTGGAATAATGAAAAACGTGTAAATTTTTTTGTGCATGATGGCGATGTCAAAATTGTTTCTACAATCAAAAATACGTTCAAAGGTATCAGAGAATACAGAGATCCTGGACATTTTCTTAACAATATACAGAAAAAGCTCAAACTGCCAGAATTCAGAATCTTATCTAGCATTTCAAAGAATTTATTGCGTTGGCTTAGGCAACTTCTCAATGACACACATATGTCAATTAAAACAAAGAAGTTTTTATGGTTGAATTCCGCTAAACATTATGCCGGAAATCATAAATTTTGTCCAGATCCTGAAAAATGCAAGATGATTAAACCATGGAAATATGCAAAAAATAAAACTGCTATAAAAACACTTAAAAAATTCCTCGAAGATACCGTAAAAATCTTTGATATGGTAAAAAAGATTCATTCAACTCAAGTAGTTGAATCGATAAACCATATCAAAGCAATGCTTGCTAATAAAAATATTAATTGGCATGCTTCTTGGCCAATTAGGATGGCAGTCACAATATTGCATTTCAATGAAAGTATGTTTGAAACGATTGTAGCAATAAGATACAGGTTAAATTTACCAACAATGCCAGAAATGATGAACAGATATTTCAGAATGTATGATACAACAAAAGATTTAATCAAAGCATTCAAAAATTCAAAGCAAGTTCAAAAAAAGTTTGCGGCATTAAGAGCTATAAAGAGAGGTCTTCAAGCTACCGATGATCGTATTACTCTTAAATCACATAAATAATTATTAAATTTATTTCACCCTCAAAACATCATAATCTTGCACCTTCTTTGAATAAACACTTTCACCTTCTATTTTTAATTAATGTTTTTTAATTGTCCAAAATTTTTAGATTATATAAGATATAATTTTTTATAAAAGTATTATTTTCTAAAAGATAAGTATATATTCTTAATCACAAAACCTAGCATTTTATCATATCTATATATCAGCTTCCTAAATATAATACTCATATAGTTAGTATGATTTTAATGTTTTTGAACATGAAACGAAAATATGATTACAATCATATAACATAATGGAGTTATTGATATAACTTATATGCATGATACATTAAGAAGTCTTCCAACAATATAGATATAGTTGTAGATTCCTATGATTCCTTTTATATTGTGAGATAATAACATTTTTATGCTGTCAGGAGCCTATGAGTGCCCATCCTTAATCAATGATAAATATAAATAGAAAGAGAATGCTATTAAACTATGATATAGGGTGTCCAAAGGTGCGTTTAGCACAGCGCTCTATATGAGACTATTAAAGGAGATATATGCTGATTATAAATATATAATAAAAAATATGAATATATGTATATGATGAGTAAGTTGTATTTTGGCGCCATGCCGGGATATAAAATGAATTTTGAGACAAGAGGCGGTTTCGCGGGAAATTTTGGCGGGATTTTTTTCATTTTTTTAATGAATCATAAAGAAAACATCCTCGCTCTTGCAAAAAAATGCAAAGACTGTAAAAAAATCTACGAGACATTGGTAAAATGCTTCGGTATGGATGCTCCTAGCTATTCCACTGTAGCGTATCATGTTAGGATGTATCACTTCATGAACAAAAAGGCGCCCATCATAAAAATTGACAAAAAATCGCCGGATCAAAGAAAAATCAAAGCAATTCTTCAAGCGCTAGATGAAGACCCAAGAGCATCACTCAGAAGGATAGAGGAGATGACAAAGATACCACGTACAACAGTCAGTTATTATCTGCACAATTATTTGAACTACAAACTAGCGTATACACG